GACCGTCAAGAGACCCACAAGACCATCCTAAGACCCCACAATACCATCAAGAGACCCACAAGACCATCCTAAGACCCCATCAGACCATCCTAAGACCCCACAAGACCGTCAAGAGACCCACAAGACCATCTTAAGACCCCACAATACCATCAACAGACCCCACAAGACCTTCCTAAGACCCCACAAGACTATCAAGAAACCCCACAAGACCATCTATACCCTGTGGTTCACATTTCAAAATAGCAGGAGCCAAATTTCATATCAATTCAATTCCGTTTTTGAATAAACTCTTGACCTCACAAAATTCAGGATTTACGCACGTATTTGTATTGTCAAATGTATTTTTTGTCAATATTCAGTTTTGACTGGTCTTGTGTCTGGTCTTGTGACCGTCTCTACTACAACACTGCAACTTATCATTGAATACACAGTAAAAGTCTAGTGTGCACACTAGACTTTCACTGTGTATTCAATGATACATGTAAGTTGCACACGTGTGGCGCCCCATATCATTTTGCATTCATAAATTCTTAACAAAATGCCACAGCACATGATTTCTTAATAGTGAAGGGGAAAAATCTATTTTAACATGTTTAATAAGAGTAGTGCACATTTATAGGAGTCAGACAAAGTTACACAAATGTGTCAGACGGCCGCAAGTCAGGCATAAGCCTAGGGAGGTTATGAGAGGACAGAATATTTCTACTGATTATATGCTCCTACATTAAGAGCAGTAATAGTCAAAAATTCAGCTCACTTCCCTCTCTGTGCCTTTAGGTGAGCCACTAGTGTTCAAGACATACATGTATATACAAACATCAATAACGAGCAGTGTCAATACACCATCCAGCTACTAGACAAGAAGAGTGCAGGTCCCACTGTTTGGTTGTGTTCTCTGTTTGCCAATACTGATGATACAAAACACCTGTTACATAACAAGTAATTTGAAAAGCCCCAGTGACTTTGTAATAAAGGTGTTTGACAACAGTGAGCAAACCTGACATACTTGGCCAAATTCTGTCCACAAGTTGACAGATCTTGGAAACCCTTGGAAACCGCTGTGACTGTCACAGTGTATGTGCATGGTTATGAAGTGAAAATCTTGCTTGTGTAGGCATTTTGATTGATTTTGACTGGAGGCCAATTTGTCCTCCAGATTTGGAGGGCATCTAGAGGGGTCGAGCAAACCAGATGCTGTCTAAGCTGTTATCCCCTTGTTGACTGCTAATGTTGTTCTGGTAGGTGTTCTGATGGGCATGTGCAGCAAACAATCGATCCGCTACAGACCTGCGCTGATATTCCAACCCCATCACGTGGAGATTGCCCTGGATGCGCTGGACAGCACACTAGCCGAGATGAGTCAGTGAATTGTTCTAGATTGCGAGTTTTGAAAGGACATTCAGGAATAATGGAAGACCTTTCTTATTTGACCCAGGGACATGTGACTGCAACCTTTAGACTGACTTGATGAAGTTGTAAATTCAAACTTGAGGTTTGTACTTTTTCCAAGTACATGTACGAATGCTCAATGATTTGTCTGTTGATCAATTCAGTCTCAAAGTCAAATTCAAGTTCAGGGATAGATTTTGGTTATGTACAGTGTGATGATTTCATTAATGATATCAAAATGATATAAAAGAAAAAAATGTCATGGGTTGAAAAGACATTTTCCTTTACATTTGAGACATATTCTGGCTTGTGTACGTAGGAGACTTGGTAGCCAGAGTTTCCCTCTGTTGTTTTGGTTTTGTGTGTAGTTTGTGTATGCCTTTTGCTTGTTCCTTTTTGTGCTTGATTTTGAGGGAATTTGTTTTGTTTGTTTTTTCATTTTGGATCAAACTTTTAAAAACTTTTTGTAATTGTATATAAATATACAATGAAGAAACTCATGAAATTTCTTCAGTAATCCTATCATCTTGTTACGTCAGGAAATCCACAAAATAATGCTTTATTTATCAATAACCAAATGCTTATTTTTATATATATTATTCAGATGCTTCATTAAATGTGTAGAGCTAAGAAAGCCCCTAGGAGTGCAAATAATTCCTGTAGACTGAAATTTGAGGAGTATGAACACGCATAATGGCATGTGTGAATTGCTTTTAGAGTGAATCATGGCTAGGCACCACTAATAATAATGTTGATATGTAAAAATCACTTGTTAATCGATTGATAAGTTTATGTGACAGATCATAAAACTTGTGTGGAGCCCCGTCTTCTCCCATCCTTGGCTTGTCATGTCACCCTCCTGCAGAAGGGCAGTAAGTAGTTGTTGGCTGGGAGATTTCTCAATCTGAGGAGGTGTGGCATATGGGAGAATTCCAAGAAGTAGAAAAAATGTGGAAGTTTAACAGGCTCTGCCATCCTTGGGCTTTGCCATGCAGGCCTTGCTAGACAGGCTTTGAAACCAAGGCTTTGCCTACCTGGCGCAGCCACCCAGGTTTTGCCACCTAGGCTTTGCCATCCAGGTTTTGCCACCCAGGCTTTGCCACCCAGACTTTGGGACTCAGGCCTTGTGACCCGTGCTTCGGATGCCAGGCTGTGCCACCAAGGTTTCGCCCTCCAGGTTTTCCCACTTGGGATTGCACTTTGCCTGGGTGGCCCAGGCTTCATTGATCTTGCGTAGTAGCATGCACAACAGCCATAGTGAAAATTTGTGCGTAGCAGTTATGCTCCATTCCATCTTGGATTTGATTCAATTCATAAGTGCATTCCTGCGAGCTGGTACAGAAACCTATATTGCCCGTTTGTTCCCACCCTACTGAGAAAATGTAACCATCTTAGAAACACAGAACCTGGACTTGAAAGCATGGAATTCTGTTATATCTTAGAGATGCATATTTCTATGATGACATATCTTGGAAATTCCAAAATTCAGAGAGAATTTCCCTGAAACACATAAATCCGTGATAAACTATGAGATCCGTTTCTGACATTACTTTGGAGCGAGACATGATTGTTGATGTTCAAATTTTTTGCAAATTGATATTTTGTTGTGGAAAATGTTTAAACTTATCAAATTCTTTTAAGAAAAGCACACAGAATCTTTGTTTTAAAAAAAACAATCATTGTTCAAATGCAGACTTGAATTGGGAGAAGGTGTGGAAATGTTCACTTCAGCTTCCTTCTCGTTTGTCATGCACACAGGCACTTGTGTCTTTATCATTGGAAGTACCCCAAAATTTAGAGCAGATTTGCAAGTCTTGGAATGAAGTTTTTGAGTATTTATCTCCCATTCTTTTGAAATAACATGTTACATGTGGTATCAATTAGTGGAATTAAATATTCTACTTTTGGGGGGGAAGGGGGACTTTATGATGGTAATTTATTTACAAGTTTGCAGAGAAGCAAAAGTTGCATCTAACAGGGAAAATTATAGAGTTTTGATACTTAAGGAAACTAAAGCCTTATATTAGGTCATTTACTCCCCCAATATTTCACCAAGCGATATGTGGACACAAAATAAAGACACAGGTTGTTATGGAAACATGGGGTTATTGTCTCTGAGTTTTACAAGGTCCTGTATTAAGCACACACACCAACGGTTCTCTCTACTCCACATACTTATGACATTGTACTGATGTAACTAGACTTGCCTCTTAGTCTCCTTAGACTCAAAGCCATGGAAAGAAAACAAAAAGTAGTTTCTGGTGAGAAGGATTAAACAGACTTGTGGTGAGCCAAGTATTGAGCTTTCACAAATACATGTACTTTTAAAACTACACATTGTATAATTCAGATTTGTACATTGTAAACAAAAATTCCAAGATCAAAATACGCAATTTTTTTTCAGTTCCAGTAAATATAAGTTAATTCCTTTTATATTTCAAATGATTGACATCAAACATCTTGCACAATAAAATGTTTCCCCTTGTAAATTCTATGAATTTCACTGGACTCTGATTTTAAGTATTTATGTCTTGATTGAAATGGAAGGAAGACATTCATTTTGTATTTCACTGAATTTTTCTTCACGACAAAGTGACACTGATTTTCTTTTACGCCCAATGTGGCGACTACATGCACCCCAACACGATTGGACTACCTTCAACCGGGGTGGAACGACCAGTCCCAGTTAACCAGTCTGTTAACCCACTGCAAACAAACATGGTTTGAAAAGCGAATAGTGAAAACCAGAAATCAAACTTCTTGTTCTCTTGGCCTGGCCAGTCACCACGGAACATACGGTCTTCAGTTGTTTTTTTTTTAAATCATACGGTATGGAAGCACTTCGTTATATATCATTTACGACAGACTACAACACTGAGGCATCATTATTTCATTCAGTGGCGGAGTACGGCAACAAATTACCGGGTAAGCTTGGCTTGTTCATATAACCTTTCCTCCAATGGAGACCCAAAGAACAATCTTTTTTTCCTCTCTCTCGTTTTAATTATAAACACTACGTATAGGTGCATCGTGTGACACAGACATACTATACAAAGTACAATTTGTTTTTTAAAATGTCTTTAAGAATAGAACTTATTTTGTTTAAACCACGTATAATACTTGCTTTCCTGTCAAAAATCGATACCAAACAAGGCTAAAGTCTGTCTTCTGTTTTGCACAATCAAATGGAAGTTGTATACATTATTTTTATCAGACAATATTTCTCAAGTTTAACAATCGGCTTCAATGTAGTCGAATAATGGGCAACTTGAGCACGCTCAATACTAACCCAACAGATGAGTAAAGAGGTACAGAATATCTTCACACAATATGTACATTCGACATTCAATTCTGTATCTGTTTTTCTGCCAAATTGTTCCCAACTAGAAGCCAATTTGTATCGTAAATGCCAGTACTGATCCAATTAACTGATCCTACTGTGGATGACCTAGGCAACCTCAGCTTTTTTTTTCCCCAGACAGACACAAAAATGTGCCCAATACCTCACTAGCAATGCATTTATAGTAGGCACTACACAGTTTTTTGTCACAATCAATGCAAGAAAACCGTCCACAGCAAATCACAAATTGTGTGCAGTTACATTAAGCACTGATAGACAGTTCTCCTTGAATCGTGAATATTTCTCCCTTCTCTACAACTCTGTAGATCTTGTGACAAGACTTTTGGGTGCTTGTGAAACACAGGCACAGTAAATACAATGTTTAAATATGAATCAGCTTGTAATCTCTAGCAATTATGGCCCTTAGTGAGTGACTAAGTAATTACTGTCTTATGTACAAACCACCTCTCTCCTTTTGTTTTTTTGTTTTGGCAAGTTATCAGCAATGGTACACTGTGATATTGAGCGATTAACCAACATGTTAGTCAGAAAAGGTTGCCCCTTAATTGTGTCATCAAGAGAAAGCACGCACTAAAAATTTCAACCAACCAAAAAAAAAAAAAATGGTGGGTATTAACATGAATCTATCAAACAAGATGTTACAAACTTCACAATACTGACGGGGAAAGAAAAGGTTTAAACACTGCATCCCAGTCCAAACCATAAATCACACTCGGTACCAAATTACACTTCTTAATCCACATTGGGGGGTAAAATTTCACACTCCAGAATACTTCAAACATCTACACAGAATCCTGAATGTTTTGCCATCACTAAATCCTTAAGAATCCACACTTCCATTACAACTTCCTAGACACCCCCCACACACAAGCCAAAAGGAATTTTTCCCTCCAACTTTCCTATATTGCTCCCATACAGAAAAAGGAAGTCTATTTCCACATGGAATTTGGGCAGTTATTACAACAGTGCATACAGCGGATGATTCCCCTGCCTGAAACCCACTTCAGGTTAAAAGTTTATATATGAAAACACAATTTAAAGGAAAAACAAACATTAAAAATCCAGCAATTAATGGGAACACAGCATCTCAACTACTTACATACCTCCACAGGAATAACATTACTTACTGTACACTGCTCCTATTATGAAGGCAAAGAACAATGCAGGTTTTTTTTTATTTAATTTTTTTGTTTGCATTTTTAAACTTTTTTTTAATGTTTTAAAGTAATTTTGTCCTTTTTGTGGCTTTTTCTTATTTTTGAACTTTTTTATTTTGAAATTTTTTTTGGGTTGATTTTCTTTTTTTTTTAAATATACTGTTTGGTTTCAGAGAATACCAGTAATTGATCCCTGCATGTGTTTATGCACACGGGATGCCAGAAACCCTGCATTGCACAGCGTCAACTACATGTTACAAATTATCAATCCCATCATGCATAGCTGACAAGTAACCAGTGGAAAATTAAAGTTGCACAGTTTTACAGCTTCTAATATTAAAAAAAAATTAAAAACTTTACTTTTTTTGTATTTTTCTTTTATTTTTTTTTTTTCCTTCCTTTTTTCTTTTTTACAAAATGACAACAAAATTCCAGATTGTATCAGTCAAGTGATCTACGGTCATGTAAAATATTTATGGATAAATATTATTACTTTTTTCAATTTGTTTCTGTCATATAATATATCTTTTAAGTTGCAAAAACAAGGCTGGTTATTTGCTCTTAACACACTGGCTAGCATCTCCACGCACCTGGACATGACAATGAAAACACCTTTTTTTTATCTTCACTGAAAAAATGAGTTTTTACATATTATCAAAGTTATTAGGAATTGGTAGTTTTTTTTTCTCTATATTAAGAAAGGCCTTCACCATTAATGCTTTGGCTTAGTGTACACGTTCAATGAAAGGTTTGTTATGTAAGAACTACTGGTAATGTTGACAAGCAAGAAAAAAAAAATAGCACAACCAGATATCTATGTTGGGGCTCCATGCAGCTCAAAGTATTTGACATTAATGTGCAGAACTGAAAGATATCTGACAAACCAGACCATGTTTTGATAACTGGCACGGAATAGCTCTGAAATGAGCCACTGGGACTGCAACCTTTTGTCAACAGATAGCACCTTTTTTAAGCATCCAGTTTTGGATAACTATTTTTTCTACTTTTTTAATGAATGATGAGATAACACCGTCCCAGTCAATACCTTCTACATTTTGTTTCATTTCAATTTGTAAATCTTACAGTTATTTCCTTTTCATCTCATGGAATGCATTGCATTACAAAAAACTTCACTTGACAAAATATTTAGTATAACAACTGATGAACAACCACAGTAAATGGTTGTGATTTGAAAAAAAAAAGAAAGAAAGAAGTTAAGTTGATAATTAAGGCCATATTACAATGATGAAATTGAACACTTCACAGCTGCTTGTTATACAGAGCAAACAAATGGTACCAAAACTGGAACAAAAATTGTTTAAAAAGGTCGAAAATAAAACCGTTTTTGGAACAAGCATAAACATACAAAGGTCATGAAATCAATTACATATATTGCCTCACCAATTAAGTAGTACAGCATTATCAAACGATAATCTAATTTGTATTAATATATCCGTGGCACAATTCAAACAGACAAAGTGAACGTCGGGGACATACACACACATACATAGGCTTTTGCTGAAGCCTTCTTTTTTTTTTTCCAATTTTTCGCTTTTTTTTTCCGAAAGAGTAAAGTGTCTATCAATGCTTGTAATCAAATGAGAGCTGAAATCACGTCCTAGTCACACACAGTAGTATTCATAATACTTGTAAGTTTTTTTTGTTTTTTTATAATCTTCATCAAAACCTTTTCTGGAAGAGAGTTTCTTAGAAGAATAATTAAACACTCACCCGTACAATGGTGCTTTGTTACATAAATGTACATTATTACAATTTCTTTTGTCATTTAAACAAGTTAATCTCAATACACAGCGGAAAATGGGCACATCCGCAAAACAAATCGTACAAGCCACCCAAAAAAAATTACATTCATAAATATGCGTTCAAAAACTTGCTCTGTTTTTTTGTTAATAATAAACCTCAGTAGAAGAAATTTCAAAATGTTCTTTATAGAATCAAATATATCTATTTATTGGACTAAGGTAGTAAAAGGTACATTAGGACAGGTAAACATGAAAATCTTTCTTGGCATGTCTAGTTACTGAACCAACCTCCCCCCCAAAAAAGGCCCAAACAGTATAACCTCTATCACGGAAAATAAAGAAGGGATCATTTGCTCTTCTTTTTCTACATGTTTCTTCTCTACTTGGCACATTAGTACAAGACGGAATGAAGAATACAGTCCGCTTTTATGTTAATTGAGCACAATCCAGTCTCCCCATAATGCCTACCTCCCACTCCCGACCATCTCACAGGTGTCTGACGTCCTGAAGCAGGCACATTTCTGGAAACTAGAAACTCTGAACAATAACCCAGCTCATCATGAAAGTCCAAAATCAGAAACAGAGCCGAGACTTTTGGAGGAAAAACAATACAAAAGGTAAAATGAAAAACAACTGAAGTAACCAAATGGCCTTAAATGCCATTTCTTAGTTTTCTACAATAAATATAGTTTTGCCTGTATATATTACGAGTAACGACAATTAGACATCCTCACATGGTGGAAATACATTCTTTTACTGCAAACACTGCTGCAATTTTAGAAATAAATTTCTGAAAACAAAGATCAACTGTAGCAGCTCTCTTATATATTAACGTCTGCAAAAAAAGAAATCCAAATGCTTTGGACGCACAGACTGGATTAACCAATTTACAACCAAGCATTAAAGTGTACAACATTGAAAAATATACAATGTGCCATTATCATAAACATCATCATTTACAAAAACCCTGTCAGAATTTCAATAGCTGACTGCAGTTGTGATCTTATTAACAATCTTTGAGTCGATTCTCGGATAAAATACAATTTTCAAGAGGAACCGCAGACCAAAAAAATATGGGCCCCAGTAAGAAGAGCGGAGACTGATTCTGTGTACCAAACACGTAGATCAAAATGCACTGAGTGGTTAAAGTGGTCGTTAATTATTGTTTGACATCAAATATGTGCTCATCAACATCTCCCTATTTCTTAACTTTTATGGCAGTTTTTATACAAGAGTATAATAAAAGTTACATATGGCAGCACTGGCATTGTGAACTTGTAACAAATTTATTTTAGCATTTTGGGGGTTATTTTTAAGCAATTTTGAGAGACTTAAGAACTCATCTGATCACTGCACATGACATCCACAATGCAACAAACCAAAAACCCAAAACAAGAAAAAAACAAAAACAATTTAAAAAAGGAAAAAAAAAAACACATGGTTTTCTATTCAAAACCCTGAGAAAACCTGAAAAAAACTACTTGCCAAGAGATTAATACACTTTATGATATGATCAAATATGCAATGTTAAAAACCTTACACACAAGCGTTTACGACACGAATTCGTAACTTCAAGCACATAATACCGTTTTGCATATTAACTGTCCCACGAGCCGCAAATAAGGGAAAAAAATACAGGAGTTGCATGATTGGATTGGTTAAGAGGAATGCGTAAAAATTGCGTTTTCGTTTTAAGTAACTAAGAAAGTACTGCACTTGTGCCATACGACGTACGCATTTACTCACATTTTTCTTAAAAACTTTTTCGAAAAACATTTTGAAATGGTCCTTACACTACTGCCCCCCCCCAAAAAAACCACATTTATTGAACATCAATTCATTTGGTTTCATCTCCCAACAACATCTCGTAGTTCTCAGTCTTAGCAAGTGGCAAAAAATGGGAGCACACACTGCCAAAACAAAATGAAGTAAACAAAAACAGGGGAAGTAAACAATCTCTATCAAGCATTTGTACAAAGCACATATATCCAAACAAAGACTAATTCTGATTTCAGATAGCTTGTCCTTTCCTAAATTTTGAAAAAACTCAACAAAAAAATCATACATTCCTGTACATTTGAGCAAGTCCCACATAAGCACATCCTTTGGTTTCTGGTTCTGGTAGCTATCAAATTCCACGAATGAGGAAAGAAAGCACATTACTGATCCCCTTGGCAGCATACAAATAGTTGCATTCCTGTAGTGGACTAACTGTTCCCTTCACAAAGACAGCCCCCCCCCAAGCTCTCGTTCTTTTACTGACAAACGAAGAATAGTTAACATATTTTATATCACCATAAATTATTTCATTTGAATGTTAATATACATCTGAATTAAGCAAAACATGTTTAGTTGATGCAGTCTTTTGGTTTATGAACTCTAAAACAGTTTGTACTAAAAATCTGTACATGAGAAAAATTATTTGCATTGGTGACCTTTGACCCCCACACCCTGTTACAAATAGCATTAGGACCACTTCAGCATCAATCTGCCATACACCTGTAAAAAAATCCTTCACTACGCATTACCCACAATGCCCTGGCAACGACAGTGGACAACAGTAAGGCTTAATCTTTTGGATATTTCTAAAACAAAATTTGCAACCAGAGGCATGGAACAGTTTATGCAGATTTCTTGGAAGCAAAACAATTTCAAATCTCTTCAATTATGGCAGCCAAATGTCTCTAATGAATAACGTAACAAATGAATTGAAGTGCTCTACTTTATTCAATGAAAACACCACCCCCCCCAAAAAAGGAGATTCGAAAGAAAATTGGAGTACTGACACGAGAATTACAGGACAGAATGTTCCAATTTGTTTTACCCTGATATTTTACGAGAAATAATCTCAGTTGGGGCTCAACCAAGTTGCACTGTCTTTCTCTTTTAAACTGACTTTGATTTTGTTTGGCTACTATTGCTTCTGTCCATTACAAGGCATCTGGAAAACCCTTTCCTTCTCCTTCCCTCTCTGTTGGCTTCTGATTAGTTTTCAATCAGCGAGAATCATTTTCCTTTGGACATTTTCACAAATTTTTGCAAACCAAACAACTCAGCTGCGACTGAATAATGCTCCGAGTGATACTGACACGATGTGAGTGAGATACCACATTTCCATTGATAATTTTGTTGTTGCTCAGAAAAGAAAATGAATACAAATAGGCATGGATATCTTCTGAATCTGAATTTTTCGTTTCTCTTGCTGATGATCAGCGAGTTTCTCGACTTCAATGAGGCAACTGAAGTAAACCATGAGTTGAAAGTAAGCTTACGTTTTCACTGAATAAAGGCTGATTTAACGAACTTGGAAAGACTCCTTTAAACATGGATGGTGGTATATTACAGTTACCTTTCCTTAATACAATCCAAATACCACACTGCAACTGTGGTGGCCATCTTGTGGAACAAACCAACCCCCAACCACTGTCCATGAGCAAAATGGAAGTGTCTTCTTTTTTTAAACCCTATTCTCTCACTGGAGAACTTGGGACTTATGAGGAATGTACCACCTTCTTAAGAGGTGAGGACCACTTGTCAAGCTCACCTCCTGGCTATTTTGTGTCAAAGCTTCCTGTAAGGAGCACAGTACAAGATTGCTTACTTAATGATGGTAGGCCCAAGTCTATTGAAGACAGAGCCCCTAAATCAACCTACGACTGCTTGAAATACAGTCTCATGCTGCTCAAAGTCACTGGTGGGAGCGAACCCTAATTTGACAAGAGACTTTGGCCTTGTTTCATATGCTGAAATGCCCCCTTTCGTGACATGAAGATTACAGTTGTCATCTCTATTCTTAATAGTACAAAATGCCCCAATAAACTTGGCTGCACTGACAGACAACCGACACAGCAGTGGAGTTGAAAAACTAAACTAATACTTTCTTTGCACAACTTAAAACCCCTTAGAAGAGTGTCCCCTGTTCTGTCATCATTCTATTTTTTGTTGAGTTTTCTTCACCTTTTAATTTTTTTTTTCTAGTTTTCTTCTGTTTTTTTTTTCCGTTACATTTACCTTGCACAAACCCTACATACTTGCATATATGCAAAAAACACTGGTGGTTATTTTCTCTTTAGCATTTGGCTGGATTGTTTGTGAATCATATTTACAAATGTTTCAGATTATTCAGAACAGTTCTCAATTCTTAATTATTTATATCATACGTTCAAAGGAGAGGCACTAGGAAATACAAATCCTCAAGAAGAAAGTCTGTGCAGCTATCCAGAGTTTTTTGTTGTTACTTTCTGTACAAAGAATGGATGGTTAGAAACACTGTCACTTTTCATCACAAGAAAACACGAGCTGTCGCTTATGGACAGGGAACAGAAGTGCGGTATTCAAAATACATGCTGTACACAAATCTTAAGTTGTTTCATTGTCAAAGGTTTTTTTTTAAACGCTTAATAAAAGTAATAATTACTACTGTTGAAAGACAATCATGTCGATTTCAGTACCCCTTCAGCCAAACACACAGAGGTTTCAAGTGGGTCACTCAGTTTGTGTAACGTTGAACTTCTCCACAGTTTTTCTCATTTTTTTTTTTATTAGTCTTTTTTTTTCCAGTTTCTTGAGGTTCTCGTGTTCACTGTAGGTGGGCTGGGTCCCCGCAGTGGTTCCACATCTCTCACAAATATAAAAACGCATCAGCATGGAAATTGCACTTTGGACGCAACAAGTTAAGTCCGTATTAAAAACCAAATTTGTGCGGCACCATTTCCGATTCCAGCTTTGATGGGGGGGAGGCCGGTGAAGGAGTTCTTGTCCATGGCCTACCTCCTCCATTCCCGCCCCTCCCCCTTGGAATTTCGTAGTTTTTCTCCTCCTTCAATCATCGTCTCTTTTAACAAAGAGCGACGGCTCAATGCCCTGCATTCCTTTGATGACAAGCACACGCCGCTTCTAGCATTCCAAAAAATGTTTGCGAATGGCTACATCGGTCTGAAGTTCCCACTAGCTCTGCAAATCCAGAAGCGTACGTTGAGTCTTACCCGGCACACCTTGGAAAATAAATTCGCTATTCACCACTTAAGCACATCAACTATGGCTCTCAACGGCTCTCGGCTCTTAGTTGCAACTGATGTTAAGAACAGCATTGAAATAGCACATGACTGTTCTTTCCATGTTTCCACAACGCTTGCATCCTTTTGTCCAACAACATATACACACATTACACCGATGCGGCAACAAATAATTGTTCTTTTTTTTAATGCAAACCCGCAAGAATATGAAGATGGAGTCCTTAAACAGAAGATAGAAAGATATTACTTTATCCATTGCACATTTCCTAGAGAAAAAAAACACCAAACAAACACGTCACTGTCGTTGTTGGAGGTTCGAAGATGCTGCAGTCATCTTGAAACACAAAAAAGCAATGCAGGAGTTCCGTTCTCCTTTTGGCCAACATGGCAAAAGGCCTTTGTTTTAGTTTGTTGCCTCTCCAGCGAAAGGTCACTCAAAATGAAGCGATGGAGACATTGACCACAGACGCGCACACACACAGGCGTGGCAGGTGCTTCCACATCTTATTGCCTTTTCAAACGAGTCAGGATGACGTTGGGGCCGCGTTTTCCAGAAGTCCTTTTTCTCCTGACGATTTTCCCCCTCCACGTTATCGCGTTCACAATAATAGATCACATATTCCAAATTTGGTCAAACAGACTGGTACTTGCACTAGTTGTGATTCACAAAAGGCATAAGAAGTCTTGGTTACTTGTAGTTTCCTTCACACATCATTCGGGTGAAGGTACGAATCCTTGAGCAACTATATTTTGTATCTTGGCAGAGATGCATACACAATATGTACAAAAAATGAGTAGATTTCAAACCATTAAAACACAAGTAATAAAAAGCAGATAATTTGGCATCATAGACACATCCTTTCTCCTTCAAAAGTAAAGGATTCTTTTGAACTGTTGTACAATAGACTACATCAATATACATTTCTCTCAACTCCTGGCAAACTTTGATAGAACATCTGATGCAAAAATCCAAGGAAAAAAAAACAACTTTTTTTTTTTTTTTTACAAACCTACGATTCCACTACATGTTGTAAAAAACCCTAATATTCCTGAACTTTTGTCATGCTGCTTGCACACAAACAAGGGTGAGAAATCTTGGCTTTTTTTGGAAAAGGTTGACCTTTTTCACATGGTGCCCTCTCCGAGCAGATCTCCTGGCAAGAAACTCAGGGAGGAAGCGACCCCAGTGGCTGGAGTCTCTGTTTCGCCGCCGCTCCAGGGTGTGGAGGTTGTGGAGGTGTTGGTGGACCACAAGCTGGGCGTGCCCACTCCGTTCCACTGGCCCCCGCTCCCTCCAGCCCGGCTCTCCTCCTTGATCCCGAATGATGAGATGCCGCTCAGGCTTCCCCCAGGGTTGCCGCTGCCTGCAGAAAACTTGCTGCCGCCGGACTGTGACTGGCTGCGATCTCGGCTGCGGGCGATGTCGGCGCTGGTGGCAAAGTCGGCAATGATGGTGGTGTTGCTGAGCACGCAGGTGTTGAGGCTGCGCTGGGCCTTGAAGGCCTCATCCCGTGTCTTGTAGGCGATGATGGCCGTCCCCTGGGAGAGGTTCATGTGGAAGTGCTCCAGGGGGCCATGTTGGAGGCACAGCAGGCGCAAGGTGGATCCATCAATCTAGATCAACAGCAACGCATGACACCAAAATCATTTACCCCGTATTAACGTAATGTGTCAATGTTGCTGCGGTTCATACCACTGTAAAGCAAACATTGACCATTCAAAAGGTGCTGATTCTGTGTTAACCACTACATGCCGGGTGGAGTTGGCGGCATGCATCACCCGCTGCCAGGCACTTATTCTTTTTTTCAATTTCCAAAATTCTTTAAAAATTCATATCTTCATTTACACCCAACGAATGACTGTCTTGTGGTGACTCTAATCTGACAGGCAACCTCCATTGACGTGTGAGTATTGCAGCCATGCTTGCCGCCCAGTGAAGAGCCCCAATTATGCGGTGTCGCGTAATTGCTATGCAGAGCGATTGACGGTCAAGCAGTGCGTGGGCCATGAGGGTGAACCAGGCCGTTCATTGGGCACACCGGCATAATAATTGCTACAAAGCAGTACTGTCTGTACTTATGCAGCCAGATTCCACAAGTGAGCAGCTCTATTGCACAGCTTTAGTGCTGGAGCGCTTTTGTCCCCGCTAATAATCTGCTTGCGCTAGCAGCGGCAAACAATGGTACTGTTTCAGAACAATGACAGGTTACCTCTGCTAATGCCAGCACTCTGCGCTGACAGCTTATGAACCTTGATTGGCGAGTCCCAGCAGCTCGGTCTTTTGTTAAAGAAAATTCCAATTTCAGGCACCTCGGCCATGAAACACCGCACCATGTCTACGGTACAGGGCACCTCGGCGGAAAGTGGTTAAGAGGCTCTACATTGTCAAGTTTGGGATTTGAGGGGAAACTTTACAGTAACAATATAAGGCAGTAAAACAATATTCCCCAAATCCCCCAAAAAACAAGACCAGTGCAAGAAAAGACGACTTGAAGTAGAACAAGTCCTTTGATAAAAGACCGATCTTTCTGATTTTTTGGCAGGATATACTCCAAAAAGCTGAAAGGGCATGTAAACACTAAACCGTACGCTGTTTCAAACTCTTCTTGATTGTCCTTCCCTAAAATGGCCCTAAGTTCCAATGTGACCTACCTGAGGGGTCAGATTTCTAAGCACCAACCAATTAGTGGCACACTCACTGCCCGGCCAGGCTCCTGTTTGGGTGTAAAGGGAGAAAACAAGTAATATATCACAACATGTTGCCTATCAGGAGAGAAATACCCTACAATGGTAGACTCTGGACCTTCATGACTAAAACCCCCCTCCCTTGCTATTGGTGACAAAGAGAGGGGCTGGACTGAAGGGCAAGTGTAACTGCTGATTTGTGCTACGTAGCTAAATGAAGATCAATCATGCACCAACACCTGAGTGCTAGCATGCTATTCTGTGTGCGGACCTGAGATAGCCATTGTGTAAAGTTTTGTGATGTCAGCTGTAGGTCTTGTTCGTACATAATAGTCCAAGCAGTAACAGTGATTCTAGTACAGACCTGATGTGCTGTGGGACCTGTCCCAGGCACGGCCTCCTGGGACATTCTGGGAAGACGAGACCGGCCAGCCGGCATTCCGCGGTTGATCGGCGAGGCCAGGCGGAGGGCGTGGAGGACGCTGATTAGTAGAAGGCACATTCCAGTTGGAGGCAGAGGTGGGCTGAGAGAAGGCCGAACCCTGGTCCTGATAGTTCCAGCTGGACTTCTTGGAGTTGCCCGAGTTGCCCCCGCTCCAGTTGGAGTTTGGCGGTGGAGGCTTCATGGGCTTGATGAGGATGCCCGAGATGTCGTCGCGGGAACCACGGTCATTGCGGTTGGTGCTGCTGCGGGTGGTGCCGCCCACGGTCAGGCTGGAGCTGTTAAGCAGGTCGTTGTTGACACTCCCTGGGGTGGCGTGGGGGTCGTTGGCCACATCCTTGGTGCGTGGCTTCCAGGGTACACCGGGCTTGAACTCCAGCAGGTCAATCTCGCTGTTGGAATGTGGGAAGGACCAGCCTGAGTCGGAGAAGGTGGAATCGGCACTCTGTGGCAGGCTGTCTGACTGAGTGGGTGAGTTGCTGCGGGACCAACCATCACTTCGCGATGACACATCCGAGATGGAGGCAATGGAGTCGTTGCGGCCAGCGTTGGGGAACAGGTCACTGGTGGGTTTGCCGACCGTACTGCTGAGTGACTGGCGCTGGGCGAAGAACTGCGACAGGCGTGACTGCTGGGGCTCCTTGACACTGAAGTCAGCATGGTTGGCGCTGCCCCCATCGTTATTGGGGAACACCTCTGAGTCGCTGTGGAGCTTGCCGCGCTGGTTAAATGGAGGGCGGGGCATACCGCGCTGAGTGGGCTGGTTCATCTGCTGCTGCTGCATGGCTATCAGGCGTTGCATCAGTTCCTGCTGCTGTCGCATGTTCAGCATCTTACCGGGGACGTTTTGCTGTTGGGCTTGGAAAAGCTGCTGGGTCTGCTGCTGAATATTTTGGAATACCTGTAAGACCTGGAAATCAAATCAAATCAAATCCCATTGCCTTGAATCAATACCTGTAAGACCTGGAAATCAAATCAAATCAAATCCCATTGCCTTGAATCAATACCTGTAAGACCTGGAAATGAAATCAAATCAAATCAAATCAAATCCCATTGCCTTGAATCAATACCTGTAAGACCTGGAAATGAAATCAAATCAAATCCCATTGCATTGAATCAACACATGCCATTTCTGTTCATCACTTGTATGTCATAACATTCTAGTACAAAGAGAGATTAGTGAGGCAAGTGAGCTATACCCTCCCCAACCCAAACAAATTTCCATTCAGTTGGCACTCACATTTTGCAGGAATCAAAAATGTCGTGAGAAATTGATGGAAATCCCAACTCGATTAAACTGACGGTGACATCAACTTCAGAAAATCACATACCGCCTCATTTTCGTATCTTATATAGCATGCTTTATTGTAACCTTGCAAGGGGGGCCCACAAGGTAATTTAAGCCTAATTTTTGAGGAGTGAATCTTCCTACCTGCTGGTGGCTCAAAGGCTGCTGCAGGAGGCTCTGGTTGATCAGTCCGGCCTGAACGGCCATCTGCAAGAAGTTCTGGAACTGCTGCTGCTGCTGTTGTTGCTGTTGCTGCTGCATCATCTGCTGGTTGAAGGGTGCTCGCATGGGCTGGCTGGGAGGAGCGAAGGGCGGGGCGAATCCCTGCTGTTGCTGCTGTTGCATGCCGCTGAAGCGCTGCTGGTTGGGGGGGAAGCCGCCGCGACCCATGTTGCCAAAGCCCGGCTTGGGCCCCATGGGGTTGTTCATCATGCCAGCGTTGGACATGGGGGACGGGGGTGGCAGTGATGCATCCCCCATGCCAAACGGCTTCGGCCCGTCGGACAGGTGGTTGTCCCCACCAAGCATCAGGGAGCCCATGTCGCGATTGACTTGGCGCAGGTGGGCATCAAAATCACTGGACTTGCCATCTGACATCTGCCTCAGTTCCACTGCAATAGAGACAAAACAACTCAAAATATACGGAAACATCACCCTCACATTTCCTCCCAAAAATTAATCAATCATGCATTTCCAAGCTCAGCCTGAACCAAAAAATCTGTGGCACAACTACCATAAAAAGCAGATTTTTGAAGACTTTGTGATCATCAGTTATCAGTAAAGACTTGCTTTTAGTTGATATTTCTATCTAAACTTGAAAAAAAAAACCTGTTCCACATAATTCTTGTATTCTTGGACGGGGGGACCCAAGGAAAGGTACAAGTCACCATTATCAAACCCAAGCATATGGCTATTGACAAGAACTCAAAGAAGCCATTTTCTGAGTTCTATGGAAAAAGATGCCATTTAGCTACTCACTGAGGGCACTGTCAAAGTTCATGTTGTGCTTTTTGAGTGCCATCTCAGCCTCCTCCTGCCGATAACCTTGGTCCATCAGCCTCTTGAGCTTACTGATCCAGTGGTTGGACTCCTTCTGGCCGATGCTGCCCGTGCCATTGGTACCCTAGGAGGTTGGGATGAAGCACAGAAATGACCAAAACAACACTGAGATTTTAACGAGTAGCACAGCTGTTTGGAGAAAAAACAGGTAGCAAACATTCAAACAAACGACAACTGAAGAAAGACCAGACCAGAACAAAAAAATCCTCAGTCTCGCTCACTACATCACTATGAGGAAATGCTGTGACGTGCAAGTTTTCAAAGATCTAGATCTTAAGAAGGATCTGGCCCACAACCATTTTATCTTGGGAACCAGGAACAGTTTAGGATCAGGGATTCTCACCCTTACTGGTTTGCGGCCCTTCATCCAGTTGCTGCTGCTGACTGACGACTCGCTGCTCTGGGATTTGGTATCCCAGTCTTCCTCTCCACCCCAATGGCCTACTGCTGCAACATGACAAAGGCAAAGGCTACTTAACGACTGCTGAATTAATGGAACCAAAATATCAATCTTAATAGGCACCACAAACGCTACACAAATAAAAGCAGGTGTTTAACTGCCAAGTGTTAACAAGAAAAACAAGAAATCATAGCGCAAAATGGTGAAATAAAATGATTTGATGAACATTAGAGGTTTTTTGAAAGAACATAATTGGATTATTTGCCGGACGTTTTGAGAAAATTAAACACCATAAGGCATACAAAGGATTTACACAGTGATGCATTATCATTGATTTATATGTCTACATGATTAAATGACAAGGAAGGCTAATTAAATTCCAATTCCAAAGTAATATACATCGCAGAGTTTGGAAAAGTTCCTTTGTTACTTTGCACTTCTTTCAAAGAAATAGATGCGAGAATGAACATTTGTTAGCACATTAAAGTAGCCGGACGGATGTCCTGAACTTACCGTTTCCACTTCCATTTGGGCCCTCGTTCCATCCAGTTTGCATAGAGTCCTTCTCCTGAGTACTGCCACCAGTAGTACTACTGCCACCCCAGGGTTCATCCCACTTGCCACTACTGGCTGCTGGTTTGGCCGCTCCATTCCTGGTCCATCCAGTTGCTGGGGCCTCCTCAGATGCCTTTGGAGTCTCACCCCAGCCTTGAACCTTCTGTTCCTGGCCGGCCTCTCCCCAAGCCGACGGAGTGGCGGCACCCCCCTCCGGTTTGGCGGCTGGGTTGGCACTCCCCTCGGGGGCACTGGTGGTCACAGGGGATGGAGGCACAGCCGTCCCATCCGCTGCCTCACCGGGAGTCCCTGGGGGAGGCGTTTGCATAGTACTGTGTGCATCCACGGTGAGCATCGAGGCTATGCGGGCAATGTTGCGACGATTCTGGGCAGCAATCCGGGCATTGTGCTCAGTGGAGTTACCCCAGACAAAGGTGCCATCGTCGACGGGCATCTTGTTTGGTGGCTGCTGGGTGGGACCCCCCCAGCCGGTAGGGATGATGGTAGTGGGGATGTCAGATATGTCTGACCAGCCGCTGAGCTTCTCAGGCATTCTGGGAGGGGGAGGGGCTTCCTGCGGGGGATTAGCCTCCTCATTGGACCAGGTGCCCCAAGAGCTGTTGTCAGACTGGCTGTGGGTGTTACCACCAGGAGGCATGCCACCAAGGGGATTTCCCCAGCCAGTGGGACGGCTCTGGCCTGTGCTTTCACGCCGCTCCATCGGCCCAGCAGGTTGTCGCCACTGAGAGGAAGATCCAGATCCCATTGCGCTGCTGCCGCTCATTCCAATCCCACCACTGCCACCGACAGCACTGTTGCCAACCATGCCACGCACAGCCATGTTACCTTCCATCCCACTTCCACCCCTCATTCCGGCTCCTGGGATCCCAACATTACCATCATTTCTACCGGGTGGAACACCCCAAGCTGGTTTGCGATCTCCTCCCCATGCAGACTGAGCAGGTGGTGGCACTGACTGAGTGACCACCTGAGAGGCCTCTGTTGGCATCCTGGGCTTTCCCCAAGCAGATGGTGGGGGAGGATTGGCACCCCATCCTGGAGCAGCTGGAGTGGACTGACTTGACCCCCAGGCAGCAGTACCATTATCAACAGTCTTAGGCACTTGTTGACCAACCCCTTCCCACTGTGTATCCTGGTTGATGGGCTTCTTGCCCCATCCCTCGCTCTCCAAGGAACTGAATTTAGCCTCACTCCTACTACCAGATTCCCAGGAACTACCTGCAGGAGCTCCCCATCCAGAGCTGTTGCTTCCGTTTCTTCGAGTGTCACCCCCGCCCCAGCCTGTGGGGGTAGGTGGCTGTCTGTTGGAGCGTGAATCCACCCCGTCGTTGGTCACAGCAGCTGAGTGACCTCCCCATCCTGCTCCGGTGGGACCCACAGTGGGGCTGGGGCTTGGCAAGGTACCCCATCCAGTGGGCCCCACCGAGGGAGGGGTCTGGCCTGGCCGTCCCCACTGGCTCCCCGGGGTGGCACTGTCTCCCCATCCAGGCACTGCTGCTGCCTCGCTGGAGTTAGTCTGCTGGCTGGAGTTGGGCTTCCCTCCCCAGCCAGAGTTGGAGGAGGCTGGGGCTGCCCCCCAGCCAGTGGATGGTGCCGTGGAACTGGTGGTGCTGGGCATGTCTCCCCAGCTGGAAGTCGGCGTCTTGGGAGGGGCTGATCCCCAGCCACTAGAGCCCAGGGTGGTGGTAGAGTTGCTGGAGCTCCAGGGGGCTGTGCTGGTGGGGTCAAGCTGACTACTGCTGCTGGCAGCATTGGAACCTGTCGTCCAGGAGGAACCTAGAAGGTGAAACCGCACATTAAACCAATCAGTTCAGCATTACTCTAAACACTGCTTGCTCTGCAAAAACTTAAATGGTGTTGCAGTAAAACTATCGAATTTGAAATCACATTCACTTTGAAAGAGTAAAAAAAAAAATTCCTGTGTGATCAAATGTACACAGCGGGTCAGAAAAGAGGAAAAAACAAGCTCCCAAGCCTTACTGGCATTTTCCAGGTTCTCATGACCTATAAGGAAGTTCAAAACTGAAGAAGTCAATTAAAACAATGAAACCTGCATTCCTGAATGTTATTTTTGACAACCTCCCCCCCCAGAAAAAATCTCCAACTGTTATCGTAGGAGTTTGTAAGCAAACATTCATTTTCAATGGTGACTAGTCAAATCAAGAACTGACTGAAAATGAACAAGAACATCATCCACCTTATCCCTAAAAGAGCTGGGCATTTCAGACCATTTCACAGCCAAAGTGGGGAAGGGGGTGGTGTATGGATTCCCATCCCATCAGTCTGCTGTCGCATGCCTGATTTTTCTGAAACTTGGCATGCAAACACACTTATGAGTACACCTGGGAAGTTTCAATTCAATCCAAACATGGTCTTGTTATCATGATCATTTTCAGTTCATGGTCTTGCGCATATAACAAGGGTGTGAGTGGCCATTTAAAATCAAAGCTGAAAAGAGCTATTAAAAAGCTGAAATGTAAAACGTTCCCATACTTTTGTACAGACCAGGTGTACAAAAAAGCTGAAATTCAAGGTCAACATCTAAACAAAAGAAGCTGAATTCTCACACCCCGAATATAAGTCTGGGGGCACTGGGCAGGTTGGAAAAGGGAAAGGAAAACATTTTTGGCTGACCCGTCTCAGAAAAATACACGTAGGTGTTTTGCAAGAACGGCATGTCTGATTACACAAAATGGGTGACAAATGACCACTAGGAATTACTGAAGATTCGGGAAACAATGCACTTGAACCATACAGGAGAAAATATCACAGGGTTCCCCTCCCCCAGCTCTTTTAAGGTGAAGAAATCACCAAGCACACGGTCTCAGTTGTCTCTTCCAGTAACCTTTCATCATTTTAATTCGGGTCCCACTGCTAAAATGTTCTTACCATTAGCACTGGTGGCAGAGTTGTTAGCACCTGTTGGGTCCTTCCCCTGACCCCAGCCAGAGGTACTAGTGGGCACAGCACTAGTGGGTTGTGGGCTCTCAGTCTGCATGCGTTCTCCCTGCCCCTGCAACACCGCAGGCTGCGTATCCATCCCATTGCTCTCCTCCCCGCTCTTGCCATTCCCGTTGCCAGCGCTGCCACCACCATTCCATCCTGGCCGGGCCTCCTTGGAGCCCTCCGCGTCCCCAGCTGGGGCCGCTGGGGTGCTATTCCCCCACACACTGCTGCTGGTGCTGCCGGTGGCAGCCGCGGCCGCCGTGGTGGTGATGGAGCCCCAGCTCGTGTTCCAAATGCTGCTGCTCTTAGCGCCGCCGGCCACGGTGTTGGCCACCAGGCCCGGCTCGTTGCTTTGGCCGGCTGCCGCGGGCATGTTGGTGGGCATGCTGATGGTGTGGCCGGTACCAGCTGAGGAGGTGACGGCTTTCAGATCGTTCTCGGTGGGGGCAGGCCGGTTGTTCTCGCGCGTGATCGCTGGCCAGGCCTCCATATCGTGTTCATCAACAACTATTCTCTGTTTAGCACTGGTTTGGTCCATGGACTAAGAGTAACATCTGATGGGCAAAAAAGTATGGTTTTTCTTTCAACAATATCATAAGCAGCAAGAAACATGATCTGGGGCCAACATTTAAATACAACAAATGATACAAGATCGGACATTTTAATTGGAGTATACTCCTGGCTGTATGTTTCGTGACCATCAGCAAGTACAAATGCATAAAAGCAACAAAATGAATCATGTTCTGCAGTCAGAGCATAGAAATAGAAGACTCAACGCCATTGTATAATGTTAAATGCCCCTATTTCCTTGGAGTATAAATTTGTTTTCAGAGGTTCGCACCCTACACCCCCTTTCTGTTTATTCTAATATCTGTCTGAGTTTGTTCAATGTGAACTGGATTTTCAGTGACCTCACTTGTTAACTTCATCTCAAATACATACTCTTTATGTTTTTATCTTTAGTTTCACTGTCAGCTTCCTTTGATAGAACACTAAACGCTGAATTTTTTTTATAACAGTCCATTTGTACAATAACCGAAGTTCACTTCACATTTCCACACCACTTCTTGTTACTATTCAATGGAAATTATACATACACTGTAACAAATTCAGGTATTCACTAGCCCGGGGGGGGGCATCTCATAAACTAGACTATGATGGCTTTACCAGTATTTAAATTGTGGTTTTGATGCCAAGCTAGTGCCAGGAAAGAAACGGAGCTCTGATCACATTCAGTTTTTAACTCACCAGTATAAAAATAAGTTGTGTATAATTGCCAATAGTGGAAGCACACAGACACCGTACGCACAGCGCCGCGGGTTGCGAGTCGGCGTGTAGTCGGTGCAGTTGCTCGTCGTATCCGATGGCAGTAATTGCTTGTGCTTTGGCTTGTACTTGATAAATCTGAGGGAGGGACGACAACGACAGCTTGTAATCCAAGGGACTCAGGATGTGGGTTGGACAGATGCCAAGGAAAGGGGAATAAAAAAAAAAAGATGGAATCTGTTAATTCAGCGCAGGACTTCCAAACTGTGGGTGTGTGAACCCTGCACTGGAAATGACTCATTCTTGCAATTTGTCGAAATAGAAATGGATATATAGAAAATACTACTGATATGTGTTACAAGTTGCAACTTGCACTTATTTGCCAACTGTTAATGATGGCATCATTAGATACTGTTATTTCTGCAGTAATCGGTTAACATCCAAGGGCTGACCATCAACACGAGCCTTGGCAAAATTCAAGATTCACTGTGCGTAATTCAGTCCAGTAATTCATATCAGTAAGGTAGTCAAGTTTAGGGTCACTTCATACACAAAATATTGCCCTGGATATACAGTGTACACATGTATACCAGATTTTTACAACGAAGGGTTAAAAAGAAAAAACCCCAAAAAATCAACAAAAACAAAGACCACAACAAAATAAAACACAACAAAAGAATGAAATTGTAAACTCACCTTTGGCGTTCTTTGTTCTGTGAAAAAATTCCTGGAATTAAACAGAACAAAAAAGTTATCAGACAAAAGAAAATTTGACTGCCTGGTCACAGGTGCGGTATCAGGTGCGAAAGCTTATGTTTACAACTGCAATTCAAAACATCAATGATTTAACACATAATAAATGTTGAATACCAAGAGAGAGAGAGAGAGAGACAGACAGAGGTTATGCATTGCTGGCATCTCCATGACGTCTCAGAGGCTGTGTTTGTGTAGATTTTTATTTAGTTACAATGAAAGCACAGAGGTTTTACTTGAGCCGTTCCCAGTGATACAAAACTTCTGCCCTCTGAGGATGCATTAATGCATAACCTCTATGTATACTTTCACTTTCAGGACAGTATCAAGAGCAAATCTCCTGCATGAAGTTACCTGAGGACTGTCTTGTCAAAAACCCATGTGCTGTATACAAAAATCTTTCAAATTAGCGGTGAGTTTAGGGGTTGAAGGGGAATCCAAGAAACATCCCAGTTGGGGTTGGTAATAACAACGGTAACATAACATGACCTGTCAGGGATTTTAATAGCTAAGATGGCATGGTCCCCTCACAAATGGCTCTGATCAATTGAATCTTGCACTTGGTTTCTCCGTATGAATTGATAAAATGTAGCAAATGTGAATAATCAGACATTTGCCAGAAATTGTTTTTGGTAAAAAATTTCCTGAAATCCAGGGATTCCATATTCCTGTTAAAGTACTCTTCCAACGGACAAGCAACAGAGCTATCCTTGCTTTCGTCAGCAGAGTTGTTCAAATTACTGGTGAAGGACTTTGTTTTGGGATGCCAGTTAGCATTTCACCCATACTTGTCCTGTACTGATAAACACAGCAACTTGACAGCTTTCATGCCCATCAATAACAGTCTTCTCTGGCACCAAAATTACCTTCACTGACTAAAGCACTACAAAAGGGCCATACGTACAGATGCAAATAGGATGGGGTGGAACCGAGTTCAAAACAATAATAAAAAAAAAAAAAATAATGTGCCAGCTTTTTGGACCAACAACCACCCAACAGTCTTAAAAAGTAAGAAAGTGCAGAGCATTGTTAAACACCCCGACACCTAAAAAACCTAAGAGACTGCCTTCTTCTCTTTACTTTGCACTACCGCAAGTCAGACAGGGGTCGACTTTCAAACTAACTGGGGATAAAAAAGGCTTACCTATAATATTCTCTACTCTCGTCTCAAAGCAGACTACTAACTCCACAGCAAAACCTCCGCAGTAGTTTCACTGCTAATTCAAACGGAAATTTGCCAGCCTCATAAATAGCACTGAGAACAGAAAAAGAAAGCGAGGTTCCACAAATAAGTATGTAGTCAAAATACATGCAACGTAGTTTCAGTATACATTTGTAAACACGTTAAAACAAAAGCTCTCACACATTACTTTAAAGTGGATTGATTCGCTTGAGACTCTGTTATTAAAACAACAACAAAAAAAACAAAACAAGGTCAACTTTGAATTTGTTTTGATTTACTTGGGCAACAAGTGGTACCAGTAACACACCACGTTATGAGGAAGAATCTTACCTCTTTTTAAAGTTAAGGCTTTTCAGTACAACGTGTATAACAGAAGAAATCAAATCTTCTGTGGTAATATGCAGCACTGGTTGCGTCCTGTTCACAAGAAAGAGAACGACAGAGTTTAGAGTCTGTCCTTCCTCAACCTGTTACAGTTGTGTTCAAGAAACCAAAACTTTACACAGTGACACAGAAGGAAATCTGTGGCAGTGTCTCTGGTCCAGGGACAGGGGAACTATATGTATGATCTCTGAGGCAGGGCTAGAACAAACATGCACGTGTACATTTGAAATAAATGCGACTCGCTCTCCTGAAATGTCCATTCAACTGATTTCACTATATGATGCCCAACACTTCAAGACTATTTCTGAAAGAGATGTAAATTGGTCTTTGTCAAAAATATTTTGTGAAGTACTTCACGCAGGATATTTCCAACTTTAACCTGAAACTAAACTGAAATGATGTGTTGTTTGAATAGTTCAGTGTAAAGCTACAAAAGAGCAATTCAATTCAAGAAATGTTTTTTTCCGTGTCATGCCCAAAAACACAAACAGTGTTCAGGGAAGAACAGCAAATTTATGAAGTTGGTGGGAGGCAGATAAACTGCGCTAGCAGAAAGGAAAGGAACACCAATTATCCTGGATGGAAGTGCCACTCTCTTCACGGTTTGACTTGTTTGGTTTAATGCAGACTTTATGCACAAGGAAGCTTCTCTGATCATGTCCCCTGAATCTATCTTATTAAATGTGATCCATCAAATGTGGTGGTGTCAGACTATTTGGGGTTCCATGCCTCACTTTCACTTGTTTACAATGTTGCTTAAAAATATAGTAAATCACAAATCTAAAAATCATCACAAAACAAATTAATCTCAGATGAACTTTTCTTTCACTGCTTTCATTTCATTCTCAGTCCCAAAATAAACAAGGTAACCTAACTTTCGATTCAACATGGCCAACACGTGAATAAGGTCAATTGCTTGATGACATGCACACAACAGCAGGTGCCAAACTCGTTCAAAGCCCATTCGTGGAATAGGTACAGCCTAAATGGAATGGATGGCTGAGTCAACATAAAGTTAAGGGAATGCGGCACCACTATTCTGGGCAAAGGAACGCAAATGAAAGGAAATGCCACTTTCAGTCCTAAACTCAAGTTACACATCCCAGATTCTGCACCCACGATACCATGCATTATGTGCAACCTGAGTGTCGACTCTTTAGAATGTGCAATCTGTAAATTAAGTGCTAACTAGGTGCACTTTGCATACAAAGTGCACATGTATCTAATGGTAAAAAAGAAAAAGGAGAAATTTTTTTTTTTTCACAAGTACAAGTATAAGCATGAAGTCCTACAGTGAAACGAAGGAGGGTGGGAGCTGACAGGTGACTGGATTGAGGGTTCTTCTACCTACCTACAAAAAGACGCTGATAAAATCTTGCATAAACCTCCCAGAGAATGGCTTGGAGGGTGATAGTCTACATGGTCGGCCCCTCGCCACTCATTGAAGCCGCAGCGGTGGGACCTCACCAACAGGACAGTTCTCTTGCAAGCAACTGAAGGAGGGAAGAGAAGAGAAAAGGGGGAAATGAGTAGTACATGAACATTTGATCATATCTCCTGGAACACAAAATAAATACATGTAGCTCAGCAGGTTGAAGCTACATTAAAGGGCTGTCTAGTAGGCTTAGAATCTTCTCTGGGGTCTTTGAAATGAACACTAGTACCGGCATCAGGGGGAATAAAACTCTCCTTAATAATTTATGCACTTGGGAACACAGAGGAACCATAAAATCGCACTGGGGATACATGCATAAATTAGCACAAATAAGAATTTATTGCTAATCTATTTCATTCCATTTTTGTAAATCAAGTTATAAGACATTTGGAGGAATTCCAAACATAAAACAAAGGCACAACTTCACAACTGAGGAAAACTTCAATGTTATGATGTCCTAATAGTAAAACAACTGGACTTGCCCAGCAACAAATTATGGGGTATGTATAGAAAAAGTTTGCTTGCCCCCTCCAAAAGGTTTACCTGCCAAACGATGTGATGCAAATATGCTTAGTTTATGTAAATGTTTATAACGAATCAATTATTCAAACTGATTCATGGAAGAGGACCTGCAATATAACATGTGCTATCTTGCAACCGACGAAGTACAATTTCAAACTCTAAATATAGCAAGTTGGCCATTTTGTTCATGAGGCACAGCACTCATCGGCCAGACTAAAAACCTCAATAATATTCAAGGAAAAACAAGAAATACTGCCAACACAGATACAAATGGATGTTCCACAAGAATACCGGCAGACGGTGTGAAAACGAATACTCCAGTGAAGTACTAGGCTTGTGCATGACCATAATCAAGAATTGGTACATTTGTTTACAATGGGGCAACCATACTCCCTGTTGCCGAGTGTGAAAAATTATTAACCTGTAATTAACTCATGGATAAGATAGGATCCGTATTAAGGCGTTCAAGCTCAAAATCAATCAGAATATTTTTTTCTCCCAGTCGCCACAACTCTCTTGTCATGACACCGAGGGATGTAAAAACTGTCGTCGAGCGAGTGAGCGAGCATGCAAAGCAAGCGAGCAAGCAAGCACGCGCCCGAAGAAGTTCAGCAGGACGGGGGGGAGTGACTCACATGAAAAAAACGGCCCCAGCCAGACGTTGATATTCATTTCCTGTCTGGGCCGTGCTAGTGGCTCGCGGGGAGGAAAAGAACATGCGGCGGCTTATCGGACCGTGGCTGGCATACCTAATGCTGCGCTGCGCTTGCATCGCAAAGAGCAGACTCCGTTTTTTTTCTCCCCCTCCTTCTCTTTGATGCCCTGGGCTTCAAAGTTCTAACAATGCCAGTCCCCATTGAAAGAGACACACGGGGGAGGATTGAATGCTCGGCTCAACATATAAATAATTCACGCTGACACTGTAAAATGCAGACGCTATTCAATTTTGAGGAAGCATATGGAATATGGGCAGTATCACTACAGTTAAAAGAAAACAACACGGACATGTACAACAGCCACTAATCAACTCAATAATTACTTTTCAAAAAGCTTTTTGACTGTTGTCAATAACAAGTTAATATCTTTAATATCAAAAATGGAACTCTGATTTGCACTGGAGACACGTAATGCGAGAGTTCCAAGCATTTCTGTTCTCATCAGGAGGAAAATAATGTGACTGACTTTTTCCGTCAAGTACAAGTACATGTAGCTGTAAGTTACAAGGAAATATCAATGTATTTGAAAAACTAAACAAAGATGTTATACACACATCTGATACATAGTCTATAACTTTTTAAGAAGTTCACTTACTATTTCTATCTGCCGGTTAAACATTCTTCATTGTTCTTGGCAATGTAAACATACCTGGGGGGAATTAAGAAAAAAAGAATGTGTAGATTATAATCAGTCAACTCTGTAGGTTGTTACTAAATCTTCCATTTTCTGGTATATTTGAAATTGGTATCTAATGTGGCCAGTTGATCAAGTCTACACACAAGAACCAGTACACATACACATGTAATTACATGTATCAAGTCATAAAGAATGCACAATATGTACATGTACATTCAGGGGAATTATAACAAACAGGACAAAATTGCTGGGACCACTTTTATCCTTCCCATCAGAGAAGATGGATGTTCCCAGATTTTTAAATTTGCGATGCATATTGTACAGATATGAGTACATGTATGTACATGTACATGTATACATGTGCATGAATGCAACTCTTATGTACCCCACACACATGCACATATGTAGCAACACAAAATGCAATGAACACAGGCCAGTAGAGGCAGTACTCCAGTCAGGGCAAGTAGCTCAGCAGGCTGATAAAACAGTATTTGTGAAAAATAAACTCAAATAATAAGCAACCATACGATGGGGCAATTTGTAAACTGTCAGGTCAGGCTAAACAAGTCCTGGCATGCACCGGTGACCTCTTTATTTTAGTACACACAAATCCAATAAAAATAGCTGGGCAGAGTACCCACACACAGTTTGAAAGTACAAAGACTGTGTTGACAACTGTGGTGACATGTGACCACGATGGATGTCGGAGTCTCCGTAAAGTCTCTATGCATATTGTACATGTACTGCTGATACATTTTAAATCGGCATGCCCACTTCAACACTGCAAAAGTAGATATAGCGACAGTGTATTGACAGATACATAAGTGTTGGGAATCACCGTGTTTCTGCTATGTTTCAGTGTGTATCCTTCATTCTGAACCACATGTACAGGGATGTACAGTGTACATGTAATGTTTTACATCCTGTCACAATGCATGCACACACAGCTCAAGAGTTTCTCTTCAAAACAGACTGCACGCAGCAATACAGTTCGAAGGGGATGCATTCCAACATGGTGGACACATTCCAACATGGCGGCTGGCTTATTTTTAGACCACGGGACAAGGCACTGACAAGCTCGAAACCCTCATCCCTCTAGCAAGCTGAACTGGAAAAACAGATGGTGTCGATGTCTGGAGTGAAGAAAGAAAATGGGCAAAATCCCTTGGAGGTAAACAAATGTGAACACGGGACAGAGCTACATGTACGTGGCAAGCAACTGCACATTTGTCGGTGGACAATGACGGCACAAACCACTCTGATTGAACTCAACCGAGATACATCCCGGGATTCAACTCCCTGAATTTGTCCCTGCAATGTTCTTTTCAGAGTGTGCGTGTGCATAACAAAGGAAGTACATGTACATATAAATAAGGATGACCAACGGATCCAGGACGGGAAGTACTTCATCATTCAAAAAGCCTGAATTCAAAGGGGAGGGGCCAGTGAGTCACACTGACTTGAGTGATCCGGTAGAAGGGAAAAGCTCCATTGTCATGACAGTGGGAAAATCAACAGACTGGTTTGTACAGAAGAAGTGATGGGAACTCTTGGTATTTTCCATGGCAATTTCCAACAAACATTAGTATGGAAGACATGTTTTAAAAGGTCCATTCAAATTGAATTCTGTGACAGATTTACCACTGTGAGGGCTTGCTTACAACTTGTAGGGTGGCCACAGTTTGCAGAATCATCACCTTTTGGTGGGTTTTCGATTTTGCCTCCAATCCCTTCAAAATTGACACTTGTCCCACTGACTTTAAAACAGGGTTGTATTTTCATTTCTTATTCGTGAGTACATGTATTATTATCTGGTATTCTGATAGCTGCGTGGGGATTTTTAACACTTTGCAAATTATTTTTTTCCTTTTGCACCAACGGCCAACCATAGTTTTAGCAGCCACTTGCATGAAACACAAGACTGTGATGTCGTAAGAACAGACCTCCTGTCCAGCCCCACACAGCGGTGTGACACTGCTCAACTCAATGCCAGGTCAAAGAGATGAGCACTGACTAAAAAAAAAATCAAAAAGAATCTCGTTGCGTGAGTACAGTGTGCAGCGAATCACCTTGACAAGGAATGAATCTTTTCCCCAGCTGACCCCTTTTAATACCGTTTTGCCACAAAGGGAAAACGGTCCATTTGATTTAATCAGAGGATGGGTCGATACCCGAACTTGGGCTGACCAAAGCCTCCACTGCTGCTGACAGGTATGGCATGGACGTGTACAGTATCTAGGCCAACTGTTATGGATTGTGTGTGTGGGGGGGGGAGAGATACAATCTGCAAAATGTCAGAGGCAACCATCAGGCAATGATCTCCTTCAAATGATAAGAGGAAGTGGGACGGGCGGAGTGGGATGTGATGACTGGCTTTAAAGTTGGTCGCCCGATTCTTTAATGGACTGCTCTGCTGGCTTCAGGTTGATTTATGACATTTTAACGATCAACTGGGAGAATATGCACAAGTGAAGCCATTCTGAAATTCATATCGGTGGGCGATGGACCAGAGTATCTTGTCGACACCCAGGTAGGCAGGACTGAAATATGATAAGGGAACTCCAGATTAGTAAAGTGTCAAACTCTTCACATGGGGAAAAAAAGAGTAAGAAAAGGGCAGTGCTGTCATCGGTTGTGACTGGTGGCTACTGTCGGAATGTCAAGCATGAAAAGGCACATCACTGCATTCCAAATACACAAGCAACTGCCCCTGTGCCAGTACAGAGCAACAATGGTTTGAAATACGTGCATTGCTCCATAATATATAAGTTTGTGGCCAACCTATGTTGCATTTAGCACAAGCAAATGCAGGTTTAAATAGCTCCGAAATACGGAAGGAGTAACACCAACAGTTCTTTACATGTGTGTCTGCCCTGTGCGCACAATTCACAGGTCGGGATCAAAATTCCCCGGTGCAGTCAAAAACTCCATTCCAGACTGCGGTGCGGGCAGGCCTACAGACAACCAAAGTCAACACAACGGCATTGTTCTGAGCATGCTTACACACGTACAGGTAACGTCTGCACATATCACATGCGCTGTGGACACAAAAAAAACCAAGGCTGCCCTTCTGTTGTGATGCCATTTCCAATAACCATTGTTATTGACATAGGGTTCAGTTCCCATGCATACAAACTACCATACTCAGCTCCTACCAATTTCTCATTCAGTCTTTAAAACACTTTCTTTTTTTGGGGGGGAGGGGGTCTGCCACAGGACCCAACCAATAAACAGTTTGAATTTTGCTTATAAGAAAGTCATCATGACAACTGCCACGGTGAATTTCCTGAAGGCTTATTATGGGCAACACCTTCAAAGGTGCAACTTCTGCTTGGATAATTCTCTTTAAATGTAATTTCGGTGGGCTGTTACTGATGTAGATCTTTTTTTTCAGGTCTTTCCACACAATGAGAACCCCAAGGTTGTTTTTCCTCCAAACATGTCATGTACTGACTGGCAACTCTGTTCAAACAAATTATAACACCGCCACCTTGCGTTGAAAAGAATGCAGTGTGAGTGTTAAACCCACGATAAACATGCCACTACAGTGGAACAAACAGAAGTTGGGAATAGTAGCATATGTTCACATTCACAGCAGATACAGGGCATCAACATTTAGCAAACAGGGTGTCTAAAAGAAATCTGGAACCCAAGAAAATACTCATACATGCTCTTGTTAACACGAGTGCTCTCCCGAAGCGAACAAATGGCAGGAGTATGCCCCGCTGATCAGTGGGAGTATACTCCCCGTCATGCAGGAGTATACTCCCGACCCGAGAGTAATGCGCGCGCATTCTCACTCGTGTTGACAGGAGGAACCGCGCGAACGCAGCCAAGATAGACGGCTCCAGCTCATGCTGGACTGTATACCTGACCAGGCCTCATCTTTAGAACTAGACCGGCGTACAAAGTCTGTTTCAAAACTCCTGCAGCAAGCTTGTAAAATGCACTCTTTAACTTGCCTTGTGGGCTAGTAAACACACCACTACATCTACATCTACATGTACCTGTTGAAACTTTCACTTGTCTTATTTGCAAAGATGAATAAAACAAAGTTTACAAATGTCGCAAATTTTGATTGCACCTTTTTGGTTACTTATTGTAACAGCTTGGAATCCCCCAACTTTGTAAGTTTAAACTGACAGCATGATTCCACATTAACTTTTGAAAAAATCAAGTTGAAAAACACCAGTCAAAGCTAGTTCTGCTAATCATTGTTAAGTAAGGTAGTGAAACTTCCTGTGAGCTGGTGAAGAAATAAGTTAATTCGCCTAGAAGACTACTTAAAAGAAAAAGCTTCAGGTCAAGGCCTGCTGACGATGACCAAGCTTACCTTGTCTTTATCATTTAGTACACCTGCAGTCCAGACAGTAATGCGACTCTCATGTGGCTCACACTACATGAATGCATTGTTGGTTCTGAAAGAGACGGAAAAAAGAGAGAAAATAATCCAGTGAATGATAAAAGAATCTCAATATGACACTGATAAAAAAGTATATTTCTTTTCTTTTGATTCCTTCAAATAATCCATAATAAATGGAAACAAGGGGTCCACGACCTCTCTTGTATGAGACCTTGAGCATTCATAACAATACTGTTCTATTTGTACCATCACATTTCTTAAGTGGCAATGCCAAAACAAATTGAATGTAATGCATCGATAAGCCTCTCAACTGTAATATGAAAACTGCTTTGTCATTATGGGCAGCAAGCTGCAAGAAAGTATGGATCTTATGCCGTAACCGTTGGAAAGGGCAACACCCTTTTCACTAATCAAGGAAATGCATGTCAATGACATGTGCACTGTCTGCAGTCATGGGACTACAGTTGCTCGGGACAATTTGCATGAGGGCAGGAATTAGTGAGAACGCATTCAGACAGGCGACATGCATGTGCTTATACAGGCAATCAGGTGACGCAGCTGTCCAATCAGAAAGCAAGTTGCACTCATGGTTATTCATAAGCAGGCAGTCCACTGGGAGAACACCCCCGGTCAAACATGGCTAAACACTAGGGGGTGGATATTTAGACCCATAAACTTATAAATTTCAAAGAGTTTGTTTGTGTATGAACAGAAGTGAAAGTCAATGTATGTGCATTCATGAACAATAATCGCACGTATTTGCAGCAGGTGCACATGGACACAAAAAGCTTGTTACCATTAACCCACAACATACACACCAAAATAATCGTGCAAGCAATCAGCCACTGTAAATTAACAAGGTTCAGGGCAAAATGACCCAAAACAGTACTTGAAAAGGCAACACCAACATGCCACGCCCCACTTGCCAAACAAACACCAGCAACCCCCCCCCCACAGGTTCTCCGGTTGAGAGGAGTCAGTAGACTTTGGTATGTTTACAGATCTGCTGCTTACTGGAACTGAAGGACAAGGGGCGTGATGTGGCTCAGTGTTTACGGTTTGCCAGGGATCTGGCATGGAAGTGTTAGTTGTGATTCAAGCTGCAAAGAAAAGTGTCCCACAAGCGCATGCGCTATGCAGATGTCTTTTGACAAAGGGAGCATCATCATCAATCCTACTTCCTAAACACATTCTGAACGGACAGCTGCAAATACATAGTACTTTAGCTATTCCAACAGTTATCAGATTTTAATAGATTTTTGGTTTTGAATTAAAAAAATGAAAAAAGAAAAAAGACTTTCAGAAATGCTGAATAGCCCTCTACATGTGATATATTGGACACTTCGTTACAACGTTCACGTAATTTCTCAGCTCTGGGCTGGCTCAGTCCATTGCTCAAATCTTACACCAAAGAGCGCGAGTGGTCAATGGTTTCCTGGCAACCAATGACAGATCAGACAGGAAGGGAGACTCTTCCACAGCTTATTAGATCTTGTTTCTTCTGAAACACAACTGGGGATGTTACTAAAGCTGACCACAACTAACTCACAGCTCTCACTACATCCCCATCATAGACCCTTCTCAATTTTTACATCTGGGAGCGATCATTTCTTAACTGGTGATGTTGTTTAAGTTGACCACTGACAACTCTAGCTAAATCCCTGTCACAAACTCTTCAAAATTTTAACATCTATCCCTCGAAGGAGCAATAATTTCTTCCCCCCCCATAAAAAAATTCTCTCAGAACCTAGCAACTCAAAGAAAGCCTACAGAAGGGCCCAGCTTCACTTCCGACCGTAACACATTCAGCATATACCGGTATGCTAGACAAAAATCTGTTAAAACCATGTCAAATATGCCATGCCACTACAGCAAAACACAACTTGCAGTGCTTAGAGCATTCAGTAATTAGACATGTGAAATACAAATACCACACAGGTACATGTAAATACAAAAAAAATGGGGAAATATGGTCTTAGCATTTGGAAACCTACATCCGTCATAACTAACGTTTTTTCCTCATGCCCCCATTCAATTGCAAGCTCCACGCCTAATTCACTAACTGCAGTGCCTGATCGTGCACTACGGCTGAAGCTTAGCGCTGGCAGCGCAATTAACACACGCCGGCCGACTATTGGAATAATCAAATTCTGAAGTGATAATTTCCGCCAAGTCTCAGCGTATCCTCCCCTCCACCGACTCTGATTGAGGGTACTGTGGGAATTAACCTCATCAGTGATGCAAGACTGGGTGCCGTAGGGAGGGGGGGGGACACCTTGGACAATCCTGCCAACCTTGCTCTGCCAACTTTTGCACATGTACATGTACTGGTATTTTTAAATAAAAGCTCTGTTCCATAGAGTGACACTCATACGACGACGCAAGTAATTCAGCTGTGGCGCTGAACCATTTTTCCAACTACACGTACATTTCTCATTACTCCAAAATTTGTTTCAATATGAACAGCGCGAGGAAATCACATTTCATTACCTGTAGTGTTATATTTAGTGGATGCCAACTGAACATGATTTTTGAAAGAACAACCACAAACCCTTTTGTGAAGCTACAAAACTGCTGATTTGCATGTAAATAACATTATGCATGGTTTAGAATCAACCAAGTGTACATAATTTGATTTGAGCTGTATCTATTCACACGCAGCACTCATATCTGGGTGAACATCAAAGCTGAACACTGCGCTGCCTGTATGCGTACTTGCACAGTTAAACTGTCTTTCATTTTAGAACCAAAATGGCTCAGAGCTCAGTAAAAACTGTCCATTCAAAACTGGAGCTTCTCACCATTTGCTTTTAATGAGTCTCTTCTGAACACCTACTTACATGTGCAAAAAATTCTCGCAATGTGCAATTATCTGCTTCATGTATTAACAATTACACAGATCTCGATCCTGGTTTTTTTTGGGGGGGGTTTTGAAAACTGTTCGACACATACTCACTTAACTGTCTCATTGCAATGTGCCTACTTTTTTTTCTCATGGAAAATACAGCAAGGAGGCTGCTATAAATAACTCCTTTAGAAATTCACAAATCCGGCCAACAAGCATTATAGTGATACCAGTACTACATGTACACGAAGGAACACACACTGACGAACGCAGGAGAGGTGACCTCCAATACACACGCACAATACCTGTACACTAGTACATGTACAGTACATGTACATAATTATGCACAGTCCCAAGTACACAGCATGTACATGTATGTACATGTATCTGACAGCACTCCTGAAATCAGGAGGTGGTGCTCCAACAAATCTAGCCATACCCATAATGGCATTTCCTGTACTGATACTGGTACATGTAAGTAGGCCCTACATATACATGCACATGTACAGTACAAGGTATAAAAAGGAAAGGAGGGGAATATGTAATGACGTGGAAAGGTACGGTCATTTGCTTAGGTTTTTTTTTCCCCTTTTAACAGCTACAGCACTTGAGACATTCAAAAAAGACCCTTAGTGTACATGTATGTACCAAATGATTTTTTTTTCTCAAGACAGTCATGAAATATGATTTTGCTGGGGACACAGATATTTACTACTCTGACCTGGGCGGGTTACATGCACAAGTTTCTTTTTGTTTTAACACAATGCTGACCCGTGGCTATTTGTGTTCCGGGGTTTTGCATGTACCTTTGGCCAATTCTGGCCCTGATCCACACAAAATACTTGACTGACCGTTCTTATGTAAATCCCCCAACAGAGAGAATAGTAATTTAGAATTCAAAGGTCAGTAGTACCGATTTTATCTGTACCTAAATGTAAATGCATTATGGATTTGACCTTACTCCGCGTCTCTGTTTTTAACCATGTCAAAGATAGACACAGGAAACCATGTGTACACGGTGTACAAAACCAGCACATATATGCCCATTTTACTTTCACTTCAAATTCTAAAAAAAAAAATAAATACAATTTTACTGGTCTTTACTGGTGCAGAAAATGAAACAAAGATAAAAGTGCAGGCACTTATTAAGAAAATGAAACCTGGCATGAAAAATCGCATGATGCAGATAACATACACCGACCAGCTCCATGATTTTGAGTCACCTCGTAGATAAGGCTATCTGGTTCTACAAAATACAATCCCACAGAGCCAATATGCTACAAGGCAGGGAGCGTTCAAATGGCCATCAATTAAAATCAAGTATGCAAATCAACGGATGCAGTAAACAACGGCAGATTTGCTGAATTCATTTTTAGTAAATGTCAAAACCGTCAACATATGATCGGTGGCTGGTGGAATAGGAAGTGGAAATCTTCCTGTTTCTTCCTGTCATGGTAAATACGCCATCAACTAGGGGGCAGGGATCTCACTTCAATCATTCCGATTAGTTTTCGTCTCTTCCTTTGCTTCATGGTCCAACAACAGTGGCCTTCCCTTATTTGACGGGCCATAAATCATCAAACCATGGTCCTGGTAAGCTGGTAAAGAGCTCTGGGAAGCTACGCAAACTGTCATGCAAAACCGTGATCACTCACAAAGATCTACTCTTGAGCTCATCCCATTCGGCAAAACATTTTCCAGCTTGAGCAGAACCACTTCACAATACAAAAACCCCAATAATATTAAGACAGCAATACAAACAATTACACATGGCAGAGTCACAGGCTATTCACAATGTCAACCCCATCGCCAATATCCTTGTACAGTCAGGTCCTCATTAAACATTAACAGCACAGGAACACATCAGAGTTAAACATCACAATCTAAGCAAACACAACCAGGCTCTTACACACAGTACTCTCATGTCCAAAAATACATAGTGCAGTCACCTACCTAGACCACAAGCATGTCCCCAGGAATCCTGGCCACATATTTCAACCCCTGTCACAGCTGACTGAGACAACCCACAAAACCACAATTCAAGCCAGTGTGGACTCTCCACCTACCCGCGCATGTGCACACAGCCTTGTCCATTCTTGGCCAATCCATATGTTCTGCACACTCCCAGGGCAGACACTCAGTACACCCGTACATATGTAGGCGGCCATGTAATGTAGAGGCTTATTGACGTACCATGTCAAGGCACTTAG